TCAAAAAAAAAAACAATGATAGGGGGTCCATTATTTTTCTCCCCCCCCCTAAAATGGACCCCCCCCGTTTTTAATTGTTTTGGTTTTTTTTCAATGCGGGGGCATGGGGCCTGGGGTGCGCCCCCGGAATCCCGACCCCGACCTCTAGTACCCCCTCCCCCTCGCCCGCGGCGAGCCTTTTTCAACCGCGGCCGCGGCGGTCATGACCGCGGGCTCGCGGTCGACCGCATGGGCCGCGGTCATGCCCACGGTGACCGCGGCCTGGGGGGATACATAAATGCCGAGGCTTTCCCAGTTTTTTTTTTGGACCCTTAGCAGGGGGGTTCGGTGCGTTCTTGCTGGAGGAGTCTTCTATCTTAGGTAAGTTGTCTCTTATCTTCTTCCTCCTTTTTGGCAGTGACAGGAGAGTGTAGTTTGAGATGAATGTCGGGAATGCCAATGCTGTTATTTTGTTTGTTTTCGGTAAAGGAGTTCCTGATTTTGTGGGCCGATGCGGAAGGCTCTCCAAGGTTTTTTTTTCAGACCTTTGAGGGGGTCGGGTCGGTGCCTTCTTGCTGGAGTAGTCTTCTGTCTTAAGTAAGTTGCCTTCTGCCCTCCATCCCCTTATGGTTTGAAATATATATGCATACATATGTATATGTGCAAGTGTGCCGCTTTGGCGGCAGACGGGTGTGTGGGTCCTCAATACTCAACACCAGAGCAGACTGCTAGAAAATGAGATGAGGAGCAGGGCTCGGCAGGGATTCTCATTGTAAGTGGGCACTCGTGCAGACCGAACAAGACCAATTTGGATGCGCACTGTAAAAGCCGCATCCAATTTTCACAGTTGTAGTTGCTGCATCAACTGCCACGGCGTAAACAGATGTCACGGGCAATGTGGCTCCCACATACTAAGAGCATGAAGGCATGACAACCACAATTTTATAGATACTGCCATTCCCCCCTTTATCTATAAATAGGATGCACCGTGTCAGGGTGTCGTCCCTGTGTGTGTGTGAGAGAGAGTCCAAGAGAGCGTCAGTCTGTCTAAACATCTGCGTTTGCATGTCCAATGTACGCAATCAGAACCCCTCAAAGACAATATACAGAGTGGTCATGCTGTGTGCGCATGTGTGACAGGGTGTGCGCGACTGCCCACCGCAATGAAAACAGACTGCGCTCAACCAGAATCACAAACCCTACCGCCACAACACCGGTCCATATCAGCCAAGCAGTGCCATTGGGTTGTTAAGTCGTACTGGCGGCCAAAACTGGCCGAATGTAACTAACACAGGTCGCACCAGGGCAGTAGGGCCTCAGGGTACTCCAAAGCAAATGGAGTGTACACACCATGCGCTTTGTCTTTCCCACAGCCACTCAGTCACCCTACCTGCCCGGGAGGAGGCCATCTTGTAACTCGTGCTTTTTTCTGCATCTTATCTTTAAACTTGTGCAGTTGCCCTTGGCTTCTGCCACTA